TAACACAGTGTCTCCTTCCGCAAAATTGTTTAACAAAGCTAGTGTGGTTTCTATAAATTGCAGTTGACCCTCATTGGGTACATAGATTGTGGCAATGGTCATCTTTCTGTTTTCAAGATTCCCCTTTATGAACAGGTATCTACCATTTGGGTCAACTAAAGATTGATCTAGTGTAAAGCGTAGATTCTTTGAAAGTAAGATCGCTACGCCTCTTGAATTCGAACTACCTGGCGCTAGAATCTGTATTGGAAGTTTTGGGGTCTTAAAGACTATGTTTTCTGATTTTTTAAGGTGTGTTTCCTGTAAAAGAATGACATCAGGTTTTTGTTTCATCAGGGTAGAGAGGACCCTACGTCTTTTGATTGGGTGGTTTAAGCCCTTAACATTGTTTGAGATGATTTTGATGTAATTGGCCATGTTTTGATGATTCAGTGCAAGATGGATCTCTTACCTGCAGTATTACACGTCAAAAGTAGGTTCTTAAAGCGGGCCGTGGAATGGAATCTGTATTAGACTTCTGAAGGAAGATGAAAGAGCAATACAAAAGCTCTATTTGTAGAAAGTATTTCTTTTGGAGTAGAAGAGAAATCAAAAATAAGTAATTACTTAGTGAATTTAAAATAGTCAGCTCAGTATTTCAATTAATTATGGTATGATAAAAATTAGTAAAATTGATTATTTCCAATTGATCCAAATAGCTTATAATTTGATTAAGGTTGAATAAGTTCAGTCAAAAATACTATATATGCTACAAATACCAAAGTACAATTGATGTCCAAAAGCTAATGTCCGTAATGTATTGATATAAGAAAGATTTAATCAAATGGTTTAAGATTGGGTACGTCAAGATAATAAACTGTACAATTAAGATTTGATGAGTGTATATAATATTTATATTAATATTATGAATTTTTTATATTTCAAGGTGTGTTAGTGGTTAGTGATTATTTTACAAGATCGCCTATTTGTTAGTTGTGTTAATATTTCTTGAGTAAGTTCCTGACTCCAGGTGTGAGAGTGCAATTTAAAATACCCTGTTTTAAGCTACGATAGGTGTACAGAAAGTGTAAATTCTCTAAAAGTAGCCTCTCTCTGGGCTTCCACCCTTCTAAGAGTGTGGGTGGAAGGCTGGGGTACTCCTTGTTCTCCCTCTTAAACCCCAGCAAGTTTTCCAGAGTAAAGACTACAACACGAGAAAACTTTACAATAACAATCAAGATCCCCCCTCCCCCTCCCCCCCAACCCCTATTTAAAGATAATTCATTAACATTTTAAAAACAGCAACATTGCAAAATATCATGTGTGAATAACTTCTATGTGAGTTTCATAACACGTCTGCGTACCAAAAAGTTACAGGATAATTCTTCTCAGAGATTTTCCTTTCATTTTACAGTACCTCTGCATAGTCAAAACCATGTCACCTTATAAGAGAAACATTTAATAACAATGAAAGATAACTGCCTATAACATATTACTAGATCTTGTTTAGTGCAAAAACAAGACAATACTTAGACTAAGGAGTATTTGAGGATTCAATATTGTGATGTTCAGTGGTATCATCTGGCTGCAATATCAATCATGAGAGTTCTTGCTGCAAAAAATTTAGTTCTCGGTGTCATCTGCATCAGATGTTGAGGGCGAAGTAATGGAGTGCCGTCTTTTATTCGTTTGATTAGCGAAATCCATGGTAGGGCCGATGTTCAGACGATCTAACAGTTTTGCTCCTTCTTCCTTATCAGATATTTTATGCGATTTCCCTCGAAATGTGAACTGTAGCACAAGCGGAGTTATCCAAGTATATTTAAAGTCCGCTTCACGTAGGCTGCTTGTAATCTGTTTTAGCTCTCTCCGCTTCTGTAGAGCCTCACGGGGAAGGTCCGGGTAAACTTCTATTTTCTGGTTATGATATTCTATATGGCCGTTTCTCCGTGCATGTGACAGAATCTTTCTTCGAAATCTGCTGTCCATGAGGGTTATCATAATGTCCCTAGAAGGTCTCGTTTTCAGCAGCGTTGTTGGACCTAGACGGTAAGCTTTTGTTATCATAGGAGATTGATCTCCCTCTGTGCCGACCACTTGTGCCAGCCATGTAGAGAGGTGGAACGCTAGATCGCCTGTTTTTTCCACGTCTTCTCCTAGTCCTCTCAATTTTAAATTGTTCTGACGTATCGTTAAGTCCAGCTTCATAGTTTTTTCTGCCAGGATTTCCTCAGCTTGCTGCATTTGCCTTATGTTTGTAAGATTAGATATGCTATTTTGTATCGCCAGTTCCGCAGATTGCTGGGTTTCTTTGATACTTTTTTCATTGGTTTCCAGACGTTCATATAGCGGTTTAAACATAGTATTGACATGTGAGAAAAAGGATTGTTCCATGGTTGATAAGGCTTCTTTCAAATCAGCCGTTGTTATTGGCGTGATTTTGTCCGCCTCAGAGATGGCAGTCGCCATTTTGTCAGGGAGCCGATCTGCCGGGCCCGGTTTTGTATTATTTGAGGGAGATTCTGATCTGTTTTTGTCTTTCTTTAACTTTTTCACTGAGGATTGTTTGTGTTTTGCGGCGTCTTTCTCCATATATTTTATGATGTTTCGTCACTGTAGATCGTGTTTTTTGGGGTTGAAAGGAGGTCGGGTTCGGCGGAGCCAAAGGCTTAGGCAGCCATTACCCTTGGTCCCGCCCCCGGAAGTCTTCGCCCTTTGTATTCTTAACAAGGCTGACAAACTGGCCACTTATAGTATTCAGCCACCAAGTTAAGCAAGGATTAGAGAGTTCTTTAAATCTGTTTCAGAATCCAAATTCTCATCTCCCAGATCAATCTATCTATTATGACATTACTTATCAGCACCATTTCCAAGATGTTGCTAGCATTTACCATGTTTAAAGCCCTTGTATGATCTCCTTTAGAATACTCTTAAATTCTGGACACTGCAATGCAATGGGAATGCTGGTGAGTCAGAAACTATTCAGAAAAGAGACTAAGATTTTGGAAAACAAATTATACAAAGAGAGGCCCAAGCAACAGGATATATTTAGTCTAAGTAAAGAAAAAACAGAAGGGTGGCACATGCTAACAATTTTCAGGTACGTAAACACAGTTCATAAAGGTGTTGAGGGGTGTTCAGCCAGATGGAACAGTCAATTTCAATTTCAATCTAATTTATTGTGGCAGGAGCCAGTAAAACAGTACAATTCTGGTGTAAAAGGGATTAAAACAGTAATAACATGGGAATAATATAAAAACATTAACAGGAGAGAGTTAATAACATTAGTAAAGTAAAACAGTGTTAATAAAAGAATCATACAATTTTTTCAGCTAAAATAAGTTTACGTTTCCTAATAGCTAAGCAACAAAATTTTGCCACAGCATAAGTCACTGAGCTCTGAATGTCTTCTAAGAGGAATTTACGAAGGACACCCCCTAATTTAGCCAGCCTCACTCAGGTCATAACTCAAAATAACTGAACTTGAACTGCAAACTGCAACAGCAAGTGAGTACTCTACAAAAGGCCCAGATAGTGTGGAGGAGAAGCTGCCAGTTCTTCAGTTGGCAGCTTGGTGTCATCTCTCAGACAGCAAGTGCAAGGATACCAGAGGTCATTTTGGGGAAGATCGCGGGGGCTCACAGTTCCCCCAGGTGAGGTACGGGGGGCACACGATGAAGCCCCGCCCCCTGCTTCCGGCTGCCCTGCTTCCGGCCCTCATTCAGCCAGGAGGAGGCAGGAGAAGAGGGAAGGTAAATTGCTTCCTCCCTGCCTCTCCCCACCCCTGCCTGCCTGGGGCCAGGGAGGGCCTTCGCGGGGCTTCCTTGCACTCCTGCAGGCCTTGCAGGTCCACTGCTGGGCCACTCATGGGGCTCGGCAGTGGAGCTGCAATGCCGGCAGTGGCAGCCGGGACCGTTGGGGGTGGGGTGTGTGGCCTTATGACACACTTCCGGTGATGTCAGGGGGTGTGGCATATGTTAATGAGTTATGTTAATGAGTTCCCCTAGCTCTTTTTCTACGAAACGACCCCTGAAGGATACTATCGCCGACAAAGTAGCTGGAGCTGTGTGAGAAAGCAACTCTGTTACCTGGGGCAGTCAGAACACTGTTGTGGAATCCACAGCAGATGGACAGCAGTCAGTAGTGACACGAACAAAAAGAAAGGAGGGAGGAAGAAAAAAAGGGGAGAAGAAAAAAAGGGGGGGGGGTTTGGGGAAAAAAGTCAACTCACGCAAGTTTATGCTACCAGATTTGGAATTATTAGTGGACTTTAATTGGCCATACCTGAGGCCTATCCTATAGAACAACAATATACATATAAATATATAAGGACATAACATCTGGACTTATACTGCATATATATTTAACATCTTATGTAAATATTTTTTGGACTGTATGTCAACTTTGTATTTTGGATTGTGACCACTGAGGAAGGCCCTTTGGGGCCGAAACGCGTTTGGTTCAGTTGCACAGCACTAACCCATCTATGTATGAATGTTGAGAAGTTTTTTAGGTCTGATTGTGAATATTTTAAATGAGTTTTAAGCTTTTTAAAATGTGTACACCTTAATAAATTTTGTATGTTTATTATATCTAATGTCAGCTCAGCAGTCAGTAGTGCCAACAGTAGAAAAGGCGCGAACCTGACTTGGGACTGCTGTTTGGGATGGCACATTGAGTGGGATCCAGATGGCTGTTTGCTCAATCTCACCCAACTCCCCTCTTTATCACAGCCTCAGCCACACATGGCTTTTCTGCATGAAGGTTCTACGCTCCTTTTTGGTTGTCAAAGGGGACACCTCCTCTTCCTTTTTCACATATGGAAAGGCTAGCTGGATCCAACCCACCTTTCCTAATGTATAGTTCTGCTCCAAATACTCTCCTACGATCTAATATTTTGTATGGAGTTTTTTTTAGCCGAAAGAAATGTGTTGCCTTAGCTGTCTAATTCCAGTTCCAACTGTTCCATCCACAACAGCTCCTCCCTTCAATAAAGCCAGGGGAAACAGTGCAGTACTTACTGGATCTTTTTTTACCAGGCCTGGTTCAGACACGACAGCGATGAGGTAGGCGAGTGTAAACACAGAGTTGAGAACGTAAGAAAAAAACAAATTCTTGTGCAGTGTTATCCTCTGACAGCTGAGGCTCCTGAAAATGAAGCACCACAAATTGTAAATTAATGTTTTGATTCTGATGTCACTCTGTTACAAGCACATGCTGGCAATGGTCTTTGAAGAATGCGAACTGGCAACAGGCAGCTGCAAAACACATGGCTGGCACTGAAGCCCTGGGAGCTAACAAAGGGTTGCTTCTTTTGTCTTTGTTTTTTTACACCTGTTTAAAACTGCATGTTTTCCACATCACATTGTAAAGACCTCATAGTCCACATTCTGAAACTTGGACATAATGGGCCCAAAAATTACTCGACAGTAAGTGAGAATGTAAAGGTAAAGGTAAAGGTTCCCTTGCTCGAAAGCCAGTCGAATCCGACTCTAGGGTTGCGGTGCTCATCTCCGTTTCAAAGCCGAAGAGCCAGCGCTGTCCGAAGACGTTTCCGTGGTCATGTGGCCGGCATGACTAAACACCAAGGCGCACGGAACGCTGTTACCTTCCCACCGAAGTGGTACCTATTTATCTACTTGCAATTTCTTGCTTTCGAACTGCTAGGTTGGCAGGAGCTGGAACTAGAGACAGGAGCTCACCCCGTCTTGCGGTACCCGGGTCTTGAACTGCTGAACTACTGACCTTCCACAGCCTGCAGTTCAGCGTCTTAACCACTTGAGCCACCGCAGCTCCTAAAACGAATACAAATGATGAACTGCGGAATTACTATTCTGTGAGGGCATGTCCCTTGGAACATTGGAATGAAAATGATACAATGTGGTAAGAATGGGTAATCAGCAGAGTTGAAGAACCTTGACCTGGAACTTCCTTAGATGTCAGGAGGATACTTGGATCCACATTATGCATGGTTTTGATTCCTCCTTGGATGGTACAGCAAGAGACTGCTTCCTGTTTAATTATGGCCCAAATTATCAAGTAAATGGCATATTTTTCATGATTTCCACATTTTGGAGCCAATTTTCTACTAGAACTAATCACAATTTTTGTAGCATTATATAATTGTCTTGGTGCTGCATATTCTCAGGACTACAGGCATGGTTCCTCCTTAACTCTGGTTGTTCTGATTCAGTATCTAGTGTGTGGAGACCCAATGCTTCCATGCTTGCTTTGCAGACAAAGCCACACGGCAAGCCAGGATAGCCACCGTGTCAGTACAAGCGGTGTCGTTCTTAACCTAACGTGGAAGGATGTGAAAACCCCATGCAACATAACATAAAGTGTTTTTTTCTTAAAACTGACCCTTTTCATACATCCAATTTATAAATGAGTAAACAAATGAAGTAAATAAACAAACAAAATGTCCAGCATAAGAATCAACTTTGCACAAGGGGATTCTGTTCCTTCACGAATGCATAAAGTACTGTGAACTGGAAGCACAGAGAGATGTTTCTCTGGCAGAAGAGAGTGCAGATGGATCCATGCCACAGCAACCTTGAGGCTAGACTATTGAATGCACTCTACATGGATGTGCCTTTGATGGCAACTCAAATGTTCAAGCTTGTTTACTATTGGGAGCTGGGCAGAGTATACACCTTGCAAACATTCTGCAGACACTTCGTTGGTTGCCAATCAGTTACTAGTTTCGTTTCAAGGTATGGGTTGTCACTTGCAAAGCCCTTCATGGCTTTGAATCCACGTATCTTCATGCCCACCTCTCCTGCTCTGCTCTGCCACAACAGCTTCACTTATCAGAGCAAAGCCTTTTGAAGGTGCCACCTTGCAAATGAATAAGATTGACAGCTGCCTGTACATGTGCATTCTCTGTTGCAGCTTCCACCTTGTGGAATAGCTTGCATGAGAAGGTCAGGAAGACTACCACACTTCTATCATCATGCAGTTTCTGTAATACAGAACTGTTCAAAAGGGCATTTTCATGTAGGGATTAGCACTGCGGTAGGATGAAACAGTTCAGGAAGGCGCTTTTTTAAGGGAATGGTAGTATATTCCTTTGTTTATTTTATGTATAATCCTGCTCTTATTGCATTGTGTTTAGCTTTTGTATTTCCATTTTCTGCATTGTTTATGGTATGTCATATCAAGCTGGTTTTTGTTTGCATTGTTTATTGGATGTTTTAGGCTTTTTAATTGCATTCCTTATATTTTGTAACCAGCCTTGAGTTTCAACAAGAAAGGCAGGCTGTAAATGAGCAAATGATTAGGATTTATAAAACAGATTGCAAAACCAGTCACAGCATAAGTCAAATGGCACTTGGATAGGGTTATTTTAGGCCACTTCACACAGGATCTTAGCTAATTAATATATTACTGCATGGCAGGGATCAGTGCAGAGAAAACTATTGAGCATAACCATGGATATCTTAATCAAGTCACTGAAGAAATCAGAAGCTTGAAGAAAACACTTACTTGAAGTAGAAGAAAATCCCCAAGGAAATCAGTAGGGAAGTTATAGATAATGCATGTCCTACTATAGCCATATAATACAGTATCATTATCATCTGAAATTAAAAAAAAGAACACAAGACATTCAGGGGTTTTTCAGAAATAGGTAAATATAACCTTGCCTGAGCTACCAAGGCAGATCTTTGTGCAGAACACGTGGGTATCTGCACTGGATGAAGATGAAGGTCCCACCAAAGTGTCTGGATGCATCCTCTGATTCAGGTGGGGTTATGAACATAAAAACATAAGAGAAGCCAATATTGGATCTGGTCAATGGCCCATCTAGTCCAACACTCTGTCACACAGTGGCCAAAAATACCAGGTGCCATCAGGAGGTCCACCAGTGGGGCCAGGACACTAGAAGCCCTCCCACTGTTTCCCCCCCCCCAAGCACCAAGAATACAGAGCCTCACTTGCCCCAGCCTGAGAGTTTCTATCTATACCTTGTGGCTAATAGCCACTGATGGACTTCTGCTCCATATGCTTATCTAATTCCCTCTTGAAGCCATCCATGCTTGTAGCTGCCACCACCTCCTGTGGCAGTGAATTCCATGTGTTAATCACTCTTTGGATGAAGAAGTACTTTTATCCATGCTAACCTGACTGCTCAGCAATTTCCTTGAATGCCCACAAGTTATTGTATTGTGAAAAAGGGAGAAAAGTACTTCTTTCTCTACCTGCTCTATCCCATGCATAATCTTATAAACCTCAATTATGTCACCCCTCAGCCGTCATTTCTCCAAGCTAAAGAACCCCAAGTGCTTTAACATTTCTTCATAGGGAAAGTGTTCCAACCCTTTTATCATTCTAGTTGCCCTTTTCTGCACTTTTCCCAATGCTATAATATCCTTTTTGAGGTGTGGTAACCAGAACTGTACCCAGTACTCCAAATGAGGTTGCACCATTGATTTATACAGGGGCATTATGATACTGGCTTTTTTGTTTTCAGTTCCCTTCCTAATAATCCCCAGCATAGCATTGGCCTTTTTTTATTGCAGTCGCACACTGTCTCGACATTTTCATTGAGTTTCATTGACTCCAAGATCTCTCTCTTGGTCAGTCTTCGCCAGTTCGGACCCTATCAATGTGTATTTATCATTAGGATTTTTGGCTCTGATGTGCATCACCTTGCACTTGGCCACATTGAATCCCATTTGCCACGTTGACACCCACTCGCCATTCTTGACAGATCCTCCCTGGTTCTCTCCACCCTGAACAACTTTGTGTCATCTGCATTCCCTCCAAGCTCCATGCAAGGAAGCATTTGGAAATATGATTCCACACTGGAAGCAGTATGGTCAGTTACACCACTTCAGAAATTTACCACATGCCACTTCAGTGAGCATGATGGGAGAAGCTCATTTGTTTAAAGCTAAGTCTGCCCTAATATGCCATCTTTTAATTGCTACTTGATCTGGATAGCCCAGGATAGCCCAATCTCATCAGAACTCATAGCTAAGCAGGGTCAGCTAGTATTTGGACGGGAGACCTCCAAGCAGCACCAGGGTCGTGACGCGGAGGCAGGCAATGGCAAATCACCTCTAAACATCTCTTGCCTCAAAAACCCTACGGGGTTGCCATAAGTCAGCTGTGAACTGACGTTACTTTCCACCACCAAGATAGACAACTTGGTATCTACTGGAGCACGGTCCTTCTTTATAGTAGTCCCCACCTTGTGGAACAAACTCTGTGAGGGGCTGCAGGGAGAATCATATTTAGACTTTAGGCCTTTTTTGGATGGGCTTTAAGCTGCCTTTTTTAATGGTCTTTATTTCTTGGCATTTCTTGGAGAGCAAAGGGTTTACTTTTAGCATGCTTTTAATCTTGAAAAGGTAAGATGCCTTCATCTGCAAGGCAAAGGCAGGTTATAGTTACAGTGGTGCTCTTAGTGATTATAGGGTCTTGGCCAGAAGACCAGAATCACTGCCATGGCCCACTGGGGCCCACCTGACAGGGCCAAGCAAGTGATGACCCTCATCTTGGGTGAGGCGGGTGAGACCCATTGCTGGAAGCTAGTTGCTGGAATCCCAAATGAAACAGGCACATGTGGCTGCTGCTGAGCCAGCTGCCTGAGTCCCGGACAGGGTGGGCGCAAGTGGCTGTCACTGTGAGCAGGCAGCCTGCCCTCTGGATAGGACAGGTACAAGTAGCAATGATCAGAACATACTGTTTTTCTTCTTTTTTCCCCTCCCTGGGGTCACAGATGATGCCCCCCAGCATGACTAAGACCACTCCTGTATAAGTATTTAAAAAGCTAAACAATAACTGGGGTGGAAGTACAATTTTTAGAGCAAGTGGAGGGGAGAGGCAGGTGAGGAGAGTTGGACCCTCCCAGTTCCAACCACATACTTCACTGTACCTTCTTCTCCCACATGATATGCTCCTAGCCAAACTTGTTTCTAGAGCTTTCTGAGGAGAAAAATACCGGGTGAGTGGAGGACAGATTGTGTAGAGGTAAACCATGGCCACAGTGAGGGCTCACTTCTTTTCCTCCTGTGTGGGTTCACTTCTTTTCATCATGTGCCCACTTAAATTTATATGTCATTGGAACAGACCTGTACTTAAATGAAGGGCTCCGTGACCATTACATGTAGTTTGGCACTGAATGATTCATAACATAAATCTAGCTCAATTAGCATCGTGCAAATTCCTAATTATTCAGCTCACTCTTTATGTAACCATGTGGGTGTTGGAAGAAAACATCTGAAACTCTTTTGCTAAAAGAAAACAAATAAACCACAGAAGAAATGAAAGGAAGAAGGCAAATACTCCTTTTCAAAGAAAGAGATCTTGATGTATATGAAGCTCCCCCCCCCCCCGATGAGCAGCAGTTGTTTTTAGATGCCTGGAACCTATGCAAACAACACCCATGCTCTGCTGAGTATTATTTATGCCTTTTATCCTCTGCATTTAAGATAAATAGCATTCATACTTCTGCCCATGAATGGCATGCTTAATAGGTTCAGGTGGGTAGCCATGTTGGTCTGAAGCAGCAGAACAAAGTTTGAGGTCAATAGCACCTTTCAGACCAGCAAAGTTTTATTCAAGGTGTGAGCTTTCATGTACAAGAAGTGTGCTTGCACACAAAAGCTTATACCCTGAATAAAACTTTGTTGGTCTTAAAGGTGCCATTGACCTCAAACTTTGTTCTAATGCTTAATAGGTGGCATGCTTCCCTCCACTGGCTATCTGGATCAATGAAACCTGCACAGATGTTCACTTGAATGACTTTGAAATTATTATTTGTTCTTGCAGAAGGAAGTCACAGGTTTAGTGGAAACATTAAAAGCCACTGGAAGACACAAAGCTGTCTTATACTTAACTAGAGCACTGGTCTCTCAGGGCCAGTATTGTCTACTCTGACTGGCAGTGGCTCTGCAGGGTGCCTCAGAGGCTGAGGTCTTTCACATCACCCTGTTATCTTATCCTTTTAAGTGGAGATGCTGGGGATTGAACCTGTGACCTTCTGCATGCCAAGCAGATACTCTACCCCTGAGCCATAGCCTCTCCCCATCATGAACAGTGGTGCAGCCAAGTTTGAAATAATAAGCATTTATTACAAATTTCATCTGCTCTGAACAGGCATTTTTATTTTGAGTTATACCCCTGTGCCTCAAAATTATTAATCCATTTGCAATTCCAAATAGGATGTGTTTTTGTGCTTCTGTGCATTCATCACACTAGACAGCAGATGCTGGGGGCCACTGCTGTCACATTCTCAGCAGCTGATTATTTAGTCCCCTATACCAATGGAACTGTCCTGATTGCTACAAATAGCTTGAAATTTCTATGAATGTAATTGTACAGCCATTAGAGCTGCTGCAGCTACCTCCTTCTCATCCATGAAGAAATTCATTTTGGTAAATGTAGAGCCCAGGAGTGGCCATTGTAGTGACACACAACGTACATAGAAGGAAAGAAGCATCACACTGTTGCCAGGCAACATATTGTGTTCTCTCACCGGAATACCCAAGTGGCAGTACAAGAATGCACATGTGCCAAGGGAAAAAGCAAACAAACAAACCACAGAAGCCAGTTTAGAACTCTTGATTAAAATTACCTTTAAAAAACAACCACACACAAACACAGATGCCACTTATAATTGGCGACCCAATTACTATTTAGAACACAGAAATTTGGCTCCACTTGTGTTTAGCAGCTGTGCCATTTCAAAGCTTTTCAAAATGCTCTTTTTTGGCTGCTAAGGGTTATTTGCTAGGGGTTCAGGCTCCCCGCTACGGAGCTTCAGCAAGAATGCTCTCCTAACCCTTTAAATAGAAGCACCAGCTGGCAAATGCCAGCAAGCTCCTCTTTTCCTTGACTAAATTTGTTTCTTGTCTGAATATTCCCCATCTCCGATAACGGGATGTACATAGCTTGATTACTTGCAGCAAAGCTACTTCAGGTCACATCCTTTAATGGGGAACAAAGCCCACTACTCTGACACGATCTACTGCTAAGTGACATTTGCAGCAGTGCAACAGAAGCCGCAAAGGTCACTTGTATTGGCCAAACTATGATGGAATGGGCAGCTGTAAGAACAAATAAAGAAAAGGTTTCTGCAAACATGTATGGACTAAGTTGCTTTCTCCAAATGTTGATGCATTTTCTGTATAGGCTGGGCCACTCTGTTGGAACATACAAGTAAGGAAAAGAGGCAGGAGGAGTGGTCAGCAGTGATCTTCAATGCAGTCAGTCCTGGCTATCTCTATCCCATGTACTGGGTGCTACTGTGGGTGCAGCACAAGCCGTCACAGCTTGAGTCTGCAGCCGGACTACCCGACAGGATGAGTACACATATACTATGCAAGGAGATCCCTTTTAGGAACGCTTCTGTTGGTCTGAGAGACACCAGAGAGACTACTGCTGTAACAGCAACCCTCACTTCTTCTAGGTATCCCAGATTTCTTTTAAGGCCTGATTAAAACAAAATGCTAGTGAGGCAAGAGATCTTACCCATGTGACTTTATTTAAATTGGGCTACAACCCACATAAAGCACCCATGCAGGCTTTGCGCATCAGAGATCTGTAGCCAATGTAAGTGGCGAGTGCTTACTAATTATGGGGTTCACTTGTGCAGCATCCAGAAAATATACCTCATCTCCAGACTACAGAGATCAGTTCCCCTGGAGGAAATGGCAGAGTGGACTTTATCATAGAATCATAGAATATTAGAGTTGGAAGGGACCTTGCAGGTCATCTAGTCCAATCCCCTGCACTCTGCAGGAGCATAGCTGAAAGATAGCCCTACAACATACCCGAAAGATGGTCGTCCAGCCTCCGCTTGAAAACATCCAGCAAAGGAGCATCCACCACCTCCCGAGGCAGTCTGTTCCACTGATCTACCACTCTTACAGTTAGGAAGTTTCTCCTGATATTTAGCCAGTATCGACTCCCTTGTAATTTCCACCCATTAGATCTAGTCTTGCAATCTGGAGCAAGAGAGAATAGATCCGCTCCATCTTCTACATGACAGCCCTTCAAATACTTGAAGACTGCAATCATGTCCCCTCTAAGCCTTCTCTTTCCCAGGCTAAACATACCCAACTCTTTCAGCCTTTCCTCATAAGACTTGGATTCCAGCCCTCTCACCATCCTGGTTGCCCTCTTCTGGACATGCTCCAGCTTGTCAACATCCTTCCTAAAATGTGGTGCCTAAAACTGGACACAGTACTCCAAGTGAAGCCTGACCACAGCAGAATAGACCGGAACTACCACCTCCCGTGATCTGGACACAATGCTTCTGTTAATGCATCCTAAGATTGCATTAGCTTTCATCGCAGTCACATCACACTGTAGGCTCATGTTTAGCTTGTGATCAACCAGAACACCTAGATCCCTTTCACATGTGCTGCTGTCAAGCCAAGTCCCTCCTATTCTCTATCTGTGCATTATGGCATCACATCCTTGCTGAGCTTGCTTCCCTTCCAAACTCAGAAGGTACTGTCCCTAAATCTTCAGGATCTTCCTACGCCAGAGTTGGCAACCCTTTAACTTGTGCAGAATTACATGGCTAAAATCTTTGGTCCTGTCAGCAACCCACTGAAGCCAGACCTTACAGGATCCTAAGACAAAACATTGTCCAACAGTGTCAGCAAACATTAAATCAGAGGTCATACAGGGTTTTTTTGGTTCAGTTACTTCTACTGTATCACTGATACCCTTTTTTCTAACTGGAAGTGAAGAATGAAAAAGAGAAGGGAAAATGACAGAGGAAGAAAGAGGGAAGGAAGGAGAGAGGAAGGATGACAAAGAAAGCGAGCTTCTATTTCTGTTTATCCCTTTTTCTCTTTCGTTTATTTTTAAGAAACAACATTCATCCTCATGGAGCCTCATATGCCTAATAGTGCAAAACCAATTCCCATTGTATGTATACAGCTGCACATTAAAACAATATCTGAATTGTGGGAAAACTGAGTCTTTTAAAATCATTTCTACCCACTCAGAAGCTGCGTACCTGTTCAGGGCTGAGGTGGAAGTCTCCATGTCTCCTTCTCTGCGTAAGACACCCTCTGTTTCCCCTCACTCATAGTGTAGTACTCACTGGAGGAAAATGGCCGCCCTGCAGCTCCAATTACTGCTACATGGGGGGGATCTGATTTCTGTCTCTTTTCTACCTAGTAATATCAGTAAAAGCCCCCACTCTCTCTCTTCTGAAGCAAAGAGATTTGTATCTTTGGCATGTCCACTTACCAGATAAACTCATTCAGTTTTTAAAGTATAGCCATTTGTTGTTTAGAATGCATGAGTTTTGCCATAGGTGCTCTTGAGGTAAATTCACATGGGATCTGAAATACTGGTGGAAGGGGAGAAGGGAGAGGGAGAAGCTGCCACCTCCCTGATAACAATACCTAGAAAATGTGTAAAATCTGAGCAGCAGCCAGAGTCACACCGATATTTTAATAGCCTACCTTCCGTTTTTCATTTGTGAAGGAATTGCACCGTGTGTAATCAGACCAAGTTCGGTTGTTTTCAGGATGCCGGTACCAGTTTCCATTCTCATCACAGGTCTTCGAGGCTGTCTCTGTGAATTTAAAAAGGCAAAGGGCGTAATTCATTTAGAGGGCTAAGTTTATATACTTAGTTTTTAAACATCTAATTAATTATAGATGGCATTTCACTCTCATTCATTATCTCAGCGAAAACAGGCAATCAAATACCACAGCACTCATCTTCACTTAGCTGGAGTAAAATAACAAAACACGGCCAAATACATTATGATAAGCTGGATCCAGATACCTGTTTCCATGGGCACAAGGACCTCCTTCTGCAGTGTGTGAATCTCCCATCTTCCCTCTCAAGTGGCATCCTGAAATGCCTTTGAATTTTGGGGGGCAATTTAGACCACCACAGAAGGAGGGAAACCCAGACTGCACCCACAGAATGCTCATCTGGATCACACAAATGCTCATCTGGATAAATGCTAAAAACTACATCCTGGTACCATTCTGTTTGGACCGCTATACTTTCTGAGCCTCTGGGATTGGAATAATGTCATCTGTAAAGATAGCAGGATAGGTTGGTCATGGCTACCCAGTGGCTTTTGGTTAGCTGATGACAGGGACCATGTTGTCTTCCTTGCTTGTGAAATCTCAAGCCAACTGTTAACTGGAGCAGGACTTGGCTAGCAAGCTGGAGAGAGGGTGGTACCTTGCCGACAGCTGGTCAGTCTGGCTTTTCCATTGCCATCAAGTTTTTCCTAGGAGAAGAGGGTGACCTCAGCCTGCTTCTATGAATTACTGCATTGGTGCAGCTGCTCCCATGACTGGGCTGCAGGCAGTATCCATTCCTACCTACCCACCAATTACTTATTTTTGAATCTAGTGGTGTTACTGTCTGTAACCACAGCTCATGGCATGCCACATATTTTTATGACAGAAACTGGGAACTGAGAGAGGGAACGCAAAAACAATGGGTGCAATTCTACACAGATCTGCTCAGGCCCCAAACAGACAATACATTTTGCCACAATCGCTTTCGGGTTTCCCTGACCCAACTCTGACCCTCTCACAGATCAACAGCACATTCTGGGAAGTAAGTTCCCAAGTATCCCTGGCCCTGATTCAAACTGGAAGGAAGGAGGGGCTTCAGCTTTCCCCCTTGTTATTTCCCGGACCCAAAAAGGACCCAGGGAATTTTATTTGCCCTATGGGAGAACTGTATGTGTACTGATAGGATATATGTAAAGCGCCCCCAATGGGGCAAATAACACGTCCCCATAGCTGTTTTGTGCCAGGATAACAGTGCAACTCATGGCAAAATGTTTGAACCTCATCAATAACCTCATTTTAGTCAATGGGTCTTATTTCCAGGAAAGTGCTGCAGCCAAATTTGGATTGTAGTCAATCTCTCCCACAATATAGGGAGATAAAATCTACTTGTAGTTATAAAGAAATATCTCTGCATAATGGAATTTAGGAAATTAAAATCATAATATGTAATTGGAAATTAATACATAATGCATGCGATATATGCACAGAGACTGCTACTTTATTCTCACGAGTCTTCTGTATGCTCATTGAAACATTCCCAGAGCATGGTGGACTTGTGATAAAGCAAATAAATATTGGACAGATATACATAGTGAGATGCAAAAAATTTTAAAGTGTAATTTTAAGAAAGAGCCAGAAGCACTACTGTTGGGACTTAAAATGGAAGAAGTGAATATGACCAAGAGAACTCTGATGTGGTATTTGAGCACAGCAGCCAGAATGACTTTTGCTCAATCTTGGAAACAAGAAAGAGTGCCTAAAATCTGGGAATGGATCAAAAAGTTACTTTTTATAGTTGAAATGGATAAATTGACAAGGAAATTGAAGATCCAGAGGAGTTTATGGCGGATTGGATGGACTTTAAAGAATATCTGGAGAAAGATTGGGATGTGAAGAATAATCTATTTTGTTTTGATAATTATTAAAAATAATTGATGGACTCCGAAATATTCGATAGAGATAAGAAATATGTTAAAGAAAAGGTTACTAATCGATCTTAATTGTTGATGTGTAAAGATGAGAGAATTAGAAGAGGAGAAGTAAGGGGCTTCCGGTCTGGACTCCGCGAATGGTGGATGCATCTTCGGGACGCTCCCGAAGTCGTCTCGCCCACACGCGGCCGAGGGGGGATCTGCACAAGCGGAGACCCTAAGGAGCCCCAGGAAGGGGTTCTGATCCGGGGCGCATAGGGGTGGTGCCTCTTTCCCGGCCGAATGGTCAGAAATCGAGGCTCGCCCCCAGCCCCAATGGCCCTAGCCGCAGCAGTGCCCCGTATGGGGACTAGCAGAGCCGCCGGTCGTCACCGGGTGATAAAGCGGAGAAGCGATTTCCGGCGCCGGCTCCCGCCTCCCAGAGCCAGCTGTCAATCAACTGGAGAGTTATCTTCTGCGCCCTCTGCTGGAGCAAATGCAGCAGATCAACCAAACGCTGACAAATATGGAAAGTGTTCTCAATAACCAGCAGGTCCAGTTAAATGATACAGCTAAGAAAATGGAGGAAATTGCGCAAAAATGCCTGGACTCAACAGCAGAAACTCAAAAAGTCAAGAAGAAGGTGGATAAAATAGAAAAACGTCAAGATATGCAAGATAAAAAATTATTGATGCTTCAAATGGAAAAATCAAATTTGACTCTCCGATTCCAGGGCGTAAAAGAATTGGAAAAAGAAGATCTCCGAAGTATTTTAGCGGAAGCTTTGGCAACACTCACCGGCTGGGAAGCGGAAAAAATAAGCGAGGAAATGGATCTGGTCTACAGATCCTATTCCAACTTTACAAGGTTAAATAACCTGCCGGCAGAAGTGGTGGTCCAGTTTACAAAGCAGAAAGTTCGGGATCAAATATTAAAGGCATCTTCATCAACGCCTATGAAGATCGAAGAGCAGACAATTAGAATCTTGAAAGATGTCCCATTTGAAATTCGAATGAAAAGGAAAGCATACAAAGGACTGACCTTATTCTTGCAGAAACATCAAATTAGCTATCGCTGGTTGATTCCAGAAGGGCTGACTTTCAAATTTAAGGATAAAAGAGAGAAGATTGACTCCATTTTCAAAGCTCGAGACTTTTTGAAGAGGCACACCAGCACGGAGGAGGCAGCACTCGCTGAATGGGAAGATTTGGACAGTGATAAAGACAGCGGTTCGGAGGGAGAAGTCAGGACCCCGGAAGATAAAGGAGCAGGAAAGGGTCCATCATACAACTTGAGAGAAGTGAAAGGGAGGCCGCCCAGACCATGAACTTGTTCGGATTGCGCATGAAAAGACTCTACTAACAAAAAACCAAAAGGACACTACTAATTCATTAACAGTTTTTCTTTATTTGCAGGTTAAGATGAAAGACGACTGCCAGCTCACAGAAGAAGCCAAAAGAAGATATATGTATTATTACTAAAAGATTAACATACTAATGATATATCACCCACCTCTTTTTCTTTATCCCACTATATACCTTCCTCTTTCTAGAAAAAAAAAAATAAAGCCTCTTCTTTTTAGAAGAGTTATAAAAAAGAAGAAGAAGAAGAAGAAGAGGAGAAGTAAGGGGAGGGGGTGGGACCACTGCGGGAAGCCAGAAGAGGGGATGGGGGTTAAAGAAAGGGATATGGGTTGAAAATATTGTTTTAATGTTGATCTTGTTATAATATTCCACCAATAAAATGTTTTTTTAAAAAAGAAACATTCCTAGAGCAGGCATTTATCAGCAGTCTTGCATTATCATGTCATATAGGATAAAAGGGCGTTGCTCAGAGGACTGGCTGCTCACGGAAAGCATGAACATGTATTTTGTACATAACTGTATTTTTGAGAGAAAACATCCATTTTAAGGTAATTTTCAGCAGATTGCTGTATTTCAGGAAGGAATAGGGACTACATTTCCCAGGGAGCACCAACACACTGGAAGGCAAAGGTGGGGGGAGAGAGATCATCCATCCAACCATTGACTGGCCAGCCATTGCCACCATCAACTTGGAGCCACACCCATCACAGCTGCAGCAGTTAGGGTTGCCAATTTTGATGTGGGAAATTCCTGGAGATTTGGGGGCAGTGCCTGGGCAAAGATTTCTGTTTTCCTAAGCTCTATGGTACACCACAGAGCCTGTCCTTCAAAGCTGCTATTTTCTCCAGGAGAACTGATTTCCAGACTCTGGAGATAAGTTGTAATTCCAGGAGAACTCCAGCTCAACCTGGAAGTTGGCAAACCTAGCAGCAGCAGAAACAGCCATTCTGCGTGTCACTTTACATTCCACTGAGGAAGGTGAAGGAGGGCAAGAACATAAGAACATAAGAGAAGCCAATGTTGCATCAGGCCAAAGGCCCATCCAGTCCAAAAATACCAGGTGCCATCAGGAGGTCCACCAGTGGGGCCAGGACACTAGAAGCCCTCCCACTGTTGACCCCCCCAAGCACCAAGAATACAGAGCATCACCTGCCCCAGAGTCCCTATCCATACCTTGTGGCTAATAGCTACTGATGGACCTCTGCTCCATATATTTATCTACTTCCCTCTTGAAGCTGTCCATGCTTGTAGCCACCACCATCTCCTGTGGCAGTGAATTCCATGTGTTAATCATTCTTCGGGTGAAGAAGTACTTCTTTTTATCCATTCTAACCTGACCACTCAGCAATTTCATGGAGTGCCCACAAGTTATTATATTGTGAGAAAGGGAGAAAAGTACTTCTTTCTCTACCTGCTTTATACCATGCATAATCTTATAAACCTTGATCATGTCACCCCTCAGCCGTCATTTCTCCAAGCTAAAGAGCCCCAAGTACTTTAACATTTCTTCATAGGGAAAGTGTTCCAACCCTTTTATCATTCTAGTTGCCCTTTTCTGCACTTTTCCCAATGCTATAATATCCTTTTTGAGGTGTGGTGACCAGAACCGTATAAGTATTCCAAATGAGGTGGCACCATTGATTTATATAGAGGCATTATTATATTGGCCGATCTGTTTTCAGTTCCCTTCCTAATAATCCCCAGCATAGCATTGGCCTTCTTTATTGCAGCCACACACTGTCTCCAAATTTTCAGAGA